TATTTCTGGGTCATAGGGTAGATCTGTTTTTAATTTTTTGAGGAACCTCCACACTGTTTTCCAGAGCGGCTGCATCAGTTTGCATTCCCACCAGCAGTGCAAGAGGGTTCCCGTTTCTCCACATCCTCACCGGCATCTATAGTCTCCTGATTTGTTCATTTTAGCCACTCTGACTGGCGTGAGGTGGTATCTGAGTGTGGTTTTGATTCAGATTTTGATATTGAAGTGGTTCTAGAGGAATTTTAAGGACGGATTTTCTGAATTGGTTCTGGAGTTTCTGGATTTGACTCTCTGATCTGATTAGATTTATTTTATTTATTTTACTCAAAGACTTTTGTTTTATTATATACATGGGCTGGGACTGATGGGAAGGGGTAGATGTAGTGGGCAACCATGGTCCAGATTAGTATTGGATGCCCATACCGATGGCCATGGATATGCTAAAGGTGCCACCACTCTGCATGATGGTTTTCCTGATGCTGCTCATCAGCAACCAATTTCACATTCCAATCCTGAGACAGGAAGAAATATTGAAGAGCACCCTGGCTGCCATGCCCACTGCATAGCCTGTCACAAAGCCCATCTTCAAGTGGTTGAAGCAGCTTGCCTGGAACTGTGTATAGGCCCCAGAGCCACAAGGATCCTCTTAGTGTTCAGGTCCCTGCACTGTGGTGCCCCCACCTCACTTCTAATCTGATTAGATTTAAAGATAAAGGACTCTATTTCTAGTAGTAGAGAGCACTAGTCATCCATAGTGTAAGGGTGGCCTCAGCAGAGGAGGATTTTAATAATCAAGTGGAAAGGATGACCCGTTCTGTGGATACCAATTGGCCTCTTTCCCCACTTACCCCTGCCATCATCCAATGAACTCATGAACAAAGTGGCCATGGTGGCATGGATGGAGACTATACATGGACTCAGTAACAGATTTCCACTCACCATGGCTGACCTGGCTACAACTGTTGCTGAGTGCCCAATCTGCCTGCAGCAGAGACCAACAGTGAGCCTCCAATGGCACCATTCCCTGAGGTGATCAGCCAGCTGCCTAGTGACAAGTTGATTACATTGGACTGCTTCCATCATGAATGGAACAGCAATTTATTCTTACTAATGACTAGACACTTACTCTAAATATAGATTTTCCTTTCCTGCACATATTGTTTGTGCTGAAACTATTACCCATGAACTTAATGCTTTATCCACCATTGTGGTATTTCACACAGAATTGTTTCTGATCAAGGAATTCACTTCATATCCAAGTGCAGCAATGGCCTTTTGCTCATGGAATTCACTGGTTTTATCATGTTCCCTACAATCCTGAGCAACTGGCTTGATAGAATGGTGGAATGGCCTTTTGAAGACTAAGTTACAGCACTTTCTAGGTGGCAATATCTTGCATGGCTGGGCAGGGTTTTCTAGAAACTTGTATATGCTCTGAATCAGCACCCATTATATGGTGCTGTTTTTCCTAGAACCAGGATTCATGGGTCTAGGAATTAAGAAATGGAAATGGGAGTAGCACCACTCAACTATTACCCCTGGTGACCTGCTTGCAAGATGTTTGCCTCCTGTCCTCTGGACCTTATGCACTACTGGCCTAGAGAGCTTATTTCCAAAGGGAGAAATGGTTCCACAAACACACAACAATGATTTCATTCCACTGAAAGTTAAGACTGCCACCAAGCCACTCTGGGCTCTTCATGCCTCTGAATCAATAGGCAAAGAAGGGAGGTACTGCACAGGCTGTAGTGACTGATCCTGACTTCCAGTGGGAAATTGGATTACCAATCCGTAATGGAGGTAAGAAAGAATAATTCTGGAATACAGGAGATCCCTAAGGGGTCTTGGTATTAGCATTCCTTGTGATTAATGTCAATTGAAAACTACAGCAACGCAATCCTGGCATGACTTCTAATGGCCCAGATCCTTTAGGAGTGAAGGTTTAGGCCATTCCATCAGGTAAAGAACCATGACCAGCTGAGGTGCTTGCTGAAGGCAAAGGGAATACGAAATTCATAGTGGAAGAAGGTAGTTACCAACTATGAGCATGTGACCAGTTACAGATGAGGACTGTAATTGTCATGAATAATGAGTATTTCTTCCTTATTTTGTTATGAATTTGTATGTATTTGTTTTCTTTCCTCTCTTATTCCCTTATCATGTGACATAAGATGTACTGAACTTATATCAGTATGTTTAACTATTATTACTTTTATGTCAATAGTATTTAAGTTACAAGATATCAAGAAGAGTAAATGTCACTCAAGGACTTTATGTCCCCTTAGGGGAAGGGATTGGTACATTCTCTTGTATGCAGGATAGTTGAAACATGTTAGGTGGAGTTATGACCTTGTTGTTGTCTTTATTTGGAGATTAGGTATGGTTTTAAGAGATGGTGTATAGGTACCAATTTGACAAGAGCTGGCCTTGTGTTAGTTAATTTTATATGTCAAATTAACTAGACCACAGAGTGCCCAGTTTGGTCAAACATCATTCTGGGTGTATCTGTTCTGAAGGTGTTTCTGGATAAGATTAACATGAGAATTGGTAGACTGAGGAAAACAGATTGCTCTCCCTAATGTGGGTGGGCCTAATCCAATCAGTTGAAGATTTGAACAGAACCAAAAGGCTGACCCTCTTGGGAGTAAGAGGTAACTCCTTCTGCCTGACTGCTTTCAATCTGGAACACTAGTTCTTTCCTGCCATCATATTTGAACTGAAACATCAGGACTTTTTAGGTTTTGAGCCTGCTGGCATTCAGACAGGAACTACACCATCAACTCTCCTGGATCTCTAGTTGGCTGACGGTAGATCTGAGAATTTGTCAGCCTCCATAATCACATGAGCCAATTCTTTATAATAAATCTTTTTATATGTGTATATATAATCTACAAATTATATGTACATATATATATATATATATATAAAATCTTTATGCAGTATTGATATACACACTTACATAGTAGAAGATACATGTATTTTCTGTTGGTTCTGTTTCCTGAGAGAACAGTAATTATAGTATCCATTTCTGAGATATTATGTAACAGCTGAAAATAATGCTTTTACTAATATTTTGAATACCTGTCTTAGTTTGGGCTGCTATAGACAACAGAAATTTATTTTTCACAGTTCTGGAAAGTAGAATGTTGAGATCAGGGTTCTGTATGGTAGGGAGAACCTTTTTTCCAGGTTGTAGACTGTCAAGTTCTTATTGTGTCCTTGCATGGTAGAGAGGGAAAAGAGCTCTCTGGGGTGACTTTTAAAACAGCACTGATCTTATTCATGAGGGCTCTACCCTCACAACCTGATCACCTCCCAAAGGCTCCACCTCCTAACACCATCACACTGGAAGTTATGATTTCAACATTTGAATTTGAGGGGGGACACAGATATTTAGTCCATAATAATATCCTTTACCAGTATAAATAACTTAGTAAAAATATAATTATTGCTGTTTACTTTTAAGGTGCTTAGAAGTAATTATTATTTTCTAAGCTACTATAAAAGGTTGGTTTGATAAATAAATTTTGAAGATAAATAAACAAACATGTTCCTTAGCTTCTAGTTTACTGGGTTTCTAAATATTTTCCTGTTGCTTTATAAATTAGGTTTGTTTTATGCCTCTTTTGATTTAGTAGTTGAGTTTTTTCATTTTTCTGTCATAAACCTCTTGAAACCCCTTTTACATGGTTGATGCCGTTTGCCAGCCAAATATTTTCTTTTTAATGTCTTAACATTTTATTTTTCCAGTAATCACATATGTATAGTTTTCCATGGGTAATATCTTAACATAACCAATTATTCATATCTCTAGTTTAGTAATTCAGGGCTGAAAACCATGTGCTGGTTGTAAGTCACTTGACCCATCTGCCTCAGTATCACTTAAATACTTCTGGCAAATAGAGTTTCCTGCGATTCCACATTACACCTACTGATTGAGAATTTGGGGGAGACAAGTACCAAGAATTTGCATCTTTAATAAGCTCCCCAAGGGGTTACTAAAGTTTGAGAATCATTGTCTTAAGCATTATTCTCAATCTTTTCTTTCTTTCCTATAAGTACCTAACTCAAACACAGTACAAATCTAAAAATGCAAAACCTTTGTAATTTTGAATACCTAAGACAAACCATTGATTCCACTTTCCAAAAAATAGTTATATGGAGGGAAGCTACTTTTAAAGTAAAGTTTTTTCAAAGTTGAGAGAAATGGTATGATTTTGTTTGTAGATTACTTTTCTAATAAATGATTACTTCACTTAACAGCTTTATTTCTGATAAACTTTGTCTTTTCAATATCTTCAGATATTTTTTTAGGATCTTATTTTTAGATTTGTTGTCTTTCCTGTATTGTAACATTCACAAAATGTGTAAACATAATAAACATGTTTCTTTCATTGAATATAAATTTGCAAAACATTTTGAAATGAATTGACCATTATTAGTTTCATCTCTGCATCTCTGCCAAGCTACTTGGAAAATGAAACTAATTTTTTTTTCTAGTTCATTTTGAAAATACTGATATTTGTTGTTACATATTCTAGGCATTTACACTGTTTGCTACACATTTCCTGGAACTATGTCATATAGAGGTCCTGTATCCTAATGTGGAAAACATGCATTTTGAAGTTCAGCATGTAAAGAACACCTCAAGAAATAAAGAAGCAATCTTGTATACCTACAAACTGTCTAGGGGACTCACAGAAGAAAAAAATTATGGTATTGCATATAGAAAGTATATCTATATAATATCTATTTATTGAAACACTACATATTCTCATAATTCTCCCCTTTACTTAGCTGTCAATGTAAGCAACTTTTCCTGTCATTCTTTTGGGCACTTACATTCTCTCAGACTATATTTTCTATGTCAAGCTCACATTATATACATATCAAGCTTATATTTAAACTTGTATTAATCAGTACCTATGTAGAATTACAACACATGAAAGCCTCATTTTTCTATTCTTAGAAAAATGTAATGTAGCCTATATTTGCAAGTTATAAATGAATTGAAGATTGTGTATTTCTTACACACTTTTTCAGTAACATCTGTTTTCTTCAGATGCAGGGAACTTGATAATTAAATCTAAAGTCTTAAAAGAGAATGTATTATTACCAAACCATATGATATTTATAAACTTGATTAGATATTTTCTATCTAAAACATTATGTGACATGCATAAAATCTCATGGATTCAGAAAATTTTCAATTGACCTATACGTATAAAGTTTCTAAAATTGTTTTGTTTTGTTTTATTTTATTTTATTTTATTTTTTCTTTTCTTTTCTTTTCTTTTCTTCTTTTCTTTTTTTCTTTTCTTTTCTTTTCTTTTCTTTTCTTTTCTTTTCTTTTCTTTTCTTTTCTTTTCTTTTCTTTTCTTTTCTTTTCTTTTTTGAGAGAGAAAGTGCATGCATGTGATTGGGGGACAGGCAGAGAGATTGGGAAAGAGAATCTTAAGCAGCATGAGCACGCAACAGGAGCCCAATATGGGCTCATTCTCACAACTTTGAGATCATGATCTGACACAAAATCAGGAGTCTGATGCTTAACCGACAAAGCCATCCAGGCATCTCCCTAAAATTATTTTAGCTATGAATGTGATCCTTGTGAGGGGGGGTAAAAGGCATCTTTGTTTTGCTATTTGAAATGGGAAGTCACCTGCATAACTTAGTTTATATCAGATATTTTTACAGGCCTTAATTTCATCTATTAAAATGGAGATAATTATATATATATAGGGCCTATGAAGATTAAAGGAATTATCAAATATGAACTGCTTAACATAATGCCCAGGAATTAGTAACTTCTCAGTAAATGTGTTAGTGTTGTTTCTATTGCCTCTTAAGTAGTATATTCAGTAAACTATTAGCACACAGTAAAAGGTTTATGTGGCACTTATACAATAAAATTAAGCTCAGGGAACAGGAGAATACTAGATTGTACTTTGAATTTACATGAAGACTAGTCATCTACAGTTATATCTTCTGAGAAATCTCTCTCTCTCTCTTAATGATCTGCTAAAAAGGTGAACATTCAGCTGTAGGGTTATCTCTGTGACTAGGATTATCTCTTATCCCCTGCAAAGCTCTATCCTTTGATCTTCTATTAACCAACTGCATTTGTGGTTGGAATTCCAATGTTATTATTCAGTTTTTTAATTATCCCTTTTGTTTTCCCTATCATGTTTTCCTGGGTATCTCAGAAGTATGTTGAAAAACAAGTGAACCTCTACTTTGTCATATTTCCCAGACAACTAATTATATCCTAAAATTGGGAAATTGTCATTCAGAACTTTGGAAAACTCAGTTTTGAGAATTGTTAAATAGTTCAGAAATGCCTACAGAATGGAAGGTTAAAGCTGTGAAGAAAAGATTATTACTGCTCAAAATAAACATAATACCCACAGTAACAATATTGAAATCCCATTGTACGTAATTTTAGGATTAAAAGCTGCAGAGGTGTCATCACTCCCACCATCAATTGTCTTGGATGCCAAAGAAATCACAACTCAAATTACCGGACAAATTTTGGTAAGAAACTTTTTAGCAATAAGAATTGGTTTTCAAATATTTAATAATTAATAACTAAAAAATTTAAAAAGTCTAATCCTAAGTAAGTTGAACCCTTTTTATTTCCCACAACTTTTTTGGTTTGGTCTATTTCAACCTTTCCCAGCAGACCAATTAATAAGATAGTAGACAAAAATTAAACAGGTCGGTCCCTATTATACTTATTGCTACACTTATGATGAGAAAATAAATCTGTATAAAATAAGTGTTAAAAATCACTATGCACCACACTTTCATATCTTCTTAAATAGTTTTTAATACTCTTTTATCTTTTAACTATATAAGCTGTATAACTCATCATGAAGCAGTTAGGTCTTTCTAATATAAGATATATGATAAAGGTGTTATTTTTTTCACATTTTTACAGCTGAAGTTCGCAGAGATTTTGCTAGGAAGCAATAGATTCAACACTGAACTTATATGTATTATTTCAAAATTTGGAAATCTTTTTTTTTTTTAAGTCAAGTTGCTATATGCTTTAAGAATGCATTGTGTTCCATAAACTAAAAGCTAGGTACATTATGAAATTTTCTTCAGTAGTAACAGTTTCCTTTGTCTTCTGTTCTTTCTTAACCTTTCAATTTTTATTGCATTCCTTCAGTGTCTTGAGCTCCTAGACTGTCTTTATGACCTTACTTGCCTAATCCCTCATTTGAATCCCTTCAGCAATTTTGATAGTGTTGTACTTCTGAAGACCTCTCATTACCTAGTTCCTCAGACTTCATCTTGCCAAATTCCAATTATGACAGGTCTTCTCCAGTTGCCTTATAGGCTTTGGCTTTCCTAATAAAGATGCTCTAAATATATTCAAGACAAGCTAATTTTATCTACTGTAAATTCAGATATTCTACCTTTAGTTCAATATTGTACTGGATAGTTTTTACCCCTTTCTTTTATTGATCCCTGTAGAGTTTCTTTACCTTAACTCTTTGAAAACATTTCTACTCTTCCTAAACCCTCAATATCCTCATTGTGTACAGAAAATTTACCTGTGCTTTTTTTTTTTTAAGTTTATTTATTTATTTTGAGAGAGAGCATGCAAGGGAGGGGCAGAGAGAGAGGGAGAGAGAGAATCCCAAGTAGGCTTACTGTTGGCAAGCTTTGCCAACAGTACGGAGCCAGATGCGGGGCTTGAACCCACGAACTGTGAGATCATGACCTGAGCCAAAATCAAGAGTCAGATACTTAACCAACTGAGCCACCCAGACATCCCCCCCCACTTTTGTTTTTTTTGTAAGTTTATTTCACCTCCTATGCTTTTTGAGAGCCTTGAGGTTATCTTGATGAGACCTTGAACTTTTTCTCCTTAAAAACTCTGTTTTGGAATTTGTTTTTTACCTAGTTCTCTTCCTTTCTATCTTAGAGGAAGAGATTACCTTTCAACTTATTTGAAGTTAACTTTTCTACCTTCTTTCCATCTCTAGTAATATAACTTCATCAGTTTCCTTTCTTCTCTCTTTTTTTTTAAGATTTTATTTTTTACATAATATCTACACCCAATATGGGACTCCAACTCACAACCCCAAGATCAAGAGTTGCATGCTATACTGACTGAACCCGTCAGGTGCCCCACTTAAAAAAAATTATTTTACTTTTTTAAAGTAATCTCTACATCCAATGTGGGGCTCGAGTTTACAACCCTGAGATTAAGAGTTATATGCTCTACCAACTGAGCCAGCCAGGCACCCCTTGTTTCTTTTGTTTTCTTTGTATCCTTAGTGTTTGTTCACTGGCTTTTCTTTTTTCTTATGAATGTGCTTAGGTTTTTTCCTAAGAAATCTTTCTCTTTTACCTTACTTCTCAAATGATATTTCTCTTCTTTGTACTGCCAACTTCTTAAGAGTGATAGCTACGTGCTTCTTCCATTTTCCACTTGCAAACTGGGTCTTGTCATCATTCCACTGAAACTTTCTTTTAAATACCAACTGATGATAAATTCTTCCAACCTTTTTTTCACTTCTCATCTTCCCTGGTCTTTCTGTGGTATTTTACACTATCCTTCTTTCACTTTTCATAATTCTTCCCTGTCTTAGCCACTGGGGAACTGTCATCTCTTGGATATCTTCATTCTCCTACCTCTGGTTACCCCTTCTTTCCTTCCTATACCAGTGCTTTAAAAAAAATTTAATGTTTATTTATTTTTGAAAAAGAGACAGAGTGTGAGTGGGAGAAGGGCAGAGACAGAGGAAGACACAGAATCCAAAGCAGGCTCCAGATTCTGAGCTGTCAGCACAGAGCCGGATGCAGGGTTCTAACCCAGGAACTGTGAGATCATGACCTGGGCCGAAGTCAGACGCTTAACTGACTGAGCCATCCAGGCGCCCCACCGGTGCTTTTATCATTCCACTTATTAAATGGAATTGTTCCTAAGATTTTGCCCTTCTTTCTTTGTTTAAAACTGTGTTCTTGGTGAGCTCATCTTTTCCTCAACTTCTGTTTTCACTTCTTTTTGACTTTGAATCTATATATTTTCTTATTTCTTCTTGAAATCTCAATTTATGTTTTCACTCTTTAATAGGACCATAATTAAATATATCATCTGAAAAATCTTCTCATCTCTTTACTTCCAAATCTCCCAGTGACCCATTAGGATCATCTATGAATCCTTAATCACCTCTCGGTAAGGACCGTGCAGTAGATTCTCTCTCTTTTCCAGTCTATCCTTCTTCTACCAGATTGACTCCTAAGCATAGCTTTTATCATGTTTCCCTGTTCAGAAGCTTTTGGTTGTTTCTTACCAAATAAAAGTCAAACTGCTTAGCCTAGTGTTAAAAGTCTTCTATGATTATTTCTCAAAATATATAGTCTTAGAATTACCTATGTCAGAGGGCACCTGGGTGGCTCAGTCAGTTAAGTTTCTGGCCCTTGATTTCAGTTCAGATGATGATCTTCCGGTTGTATGATCAAGCCTCCTCCTATTGGACTCCACACTGGGGATGAAGCCTGCTGAAGATTCTCTCTCCTTCTTCCTTGCATGTGTGCAAGCTCCCACTCTCTCAAATAAATAAATAGATAGATAAATATCTAAAAAAAAGAATTACCTTCATCAGAATCACCCACGGTGCTGGGAATCATCTTAGATTTTCAAGGATTTCCTGTGGCTTAGGAATTTACATTTTTAAGCAGTCTTCAAATGATTCTTCAACACACTAAAGTTTGTTAATTACTGCTTTGTGATCTCCCTTTTTTAACTTCCCCAACCCTACATAACATTTCTCAGTTTAACTATAGCATACATTTCTGCCACATTGAGTTACTTGTCATTCCATCATTCTGACCTGACTGTGTATCGGGATTTTTAACATGTCTGCCCTAGCTGTTTCCTCTATCCAGAATGCACTTCCTTCTACATTTTTCTATCAAGACTCTTTCCAAATATTCCATCCTATTTAAACTTTTCTTAACCTGAGCTGGAAATGAGTTCTCCTTCCTCTGAGAATTTTTGTATCTCTTTCATGAGACTTACCATAATTTCTTAAAGCAGTTGCTTATGAATATGTCTCTTTCACTATAATAATATGTCTCTTTCATTGAGCTTCTTGAGTTCCATTGTCATGTCAGGTAGACATTTTTGTATCCCCCATGACATTAACATGAGGTTTGGGACCTGGAATATAGAGGATAATAGATATTCAGTAACTGTTTGTTATTTAAATAGTAAACTGATAGTTGATCATTCAGTGTATCATATAGATGGGTGAATAAATGATAATCTTATTCTACCTCATGGAGTTCTATTCTATTAGAGTGAACGAAGAAAAATACCTTGAATTCCTTGCTATTGAAAAAGAGTTGGGGGATTTTATTTCTCTTAGTGAAGGGAAATTCGCTGACTTGCCAATAACAGTTTAAGATTGAAAATGCTGATTCTTCTATCTAGCTCAGGAAACCAGGTGAATGAAGAATTTTCTAGCTGTACTCACAACCCTGAACTAGTTCTCAAAGACTGAATATCTAAAGGCTTTGTAAAGTACTAGAAGATTCCTGTTTTAAACATTGTTTCTTGAGTATTCTTAAGTATAGTTTAAGAATTAAGGCATAATTTCAAGCAGCTATTTATGGTGCTTATTTTCAACATGTAATTTACCCCTCAAGCAGTATTTTGTCTTAGGCTCTAGCAGTTTCCATATATGAAATCTCTTGAGGGACAGGCAATTTACTGATGACCCATTCTGTCCACCAGTTTATCTGCTGGGGAATTAAGATAGGAGATAGCAGAGTAGTACTCTTGGGTGACATTTAAAATGAATGCTGCATAGCAACGAGCAGTTATGTTGAGTGAGAAATTTGACCTATTTAGCAGAATTTTTTTCATTCAGAAGTGATTTTCAAAAATAAGAATCTGTCATAAAGTAGTAAATACTCATGAAAAAGTTAATTTTTTCAAAACAATATTTCTTTATTTTTTCTGGTATATTTTTTACTAGTTGGATGGAATTGACTTTTCCAAAGGAATTAGTTACCTTTGAGTTCTGTATTTCTATGAAGGAAAAGAGAAAATCGCCAGAATTTTAAAATAAAGTCATAGTAACCATATTTTAATTTTTATCTATATTTTTTCAAAAACAGCAAAACCAAAGAAGTACCCCTGAGATGGAAAGACAGAGAGCTGTGTACCATCTAGCCACTAGACTTGTTCAAACTGCTCGAAACTCTCAATTGGATCCAGACAGTTTACGAACATATTTAAGTAATCTCAAAAAGAAGTATGAAACAGATTTTCTCAGGGCTGAACAATTTTCAGGAAAGACTGAAGAATAATAACAATTCACATCATGTACTAATGAAATAATATATCTTAATATGAGGAAACTAGGATTCATTTTTCTCAAGAGCAAGAGAAAATATTTGCTAAATTTTATATTTTAATGGAAAATTACATTATATTAACCTTAGAATTATCATCTATGTATTCTGTGTAAGAAAGTATTTGTTATAACTTAACATATTGGAACCATTTAAAGGACTGATTTTTATGTTAGAAGAACGTCAATGTGACATTTTTTTCTCATTTGTGAAAATTCATGTTGTTATGTCTTAACTGTATTTATACTTACAAGTTATGCTTTAAATGCTATTATAAATACCTTAGTTTAAAAAAAAACACTTTTTTCAGTCTGGAAACTTATGTGAGTTCTTTTATGCTCTCTTCTGAAGCAGTAAGACCCTATGGCTCAATAATTTCTTAATTAGTACCCCCCAAATTCCAACACTGGATGCTTCTGAAGTTTGTTAGGATAATATTGGGAATTTTAAAGTATTCTTTTTGACCGTTCTGAATAGGTCTAAAGGGTGAAAAGAAACAAACAGATATTTTGTAATGCAGAGAATGGTTTTGGAAGGAGTCACCATCACCCACCCTTTCAGTTTTCCAAATACCAGGCATTTGATTTTGTTTTCCAAGTTTTCATTTTTGGCCATCTTTTTTAGGTGAGTAACCAAAGCAGCATAAAGGTAATATTGGTTCATTTGCCTCAGGGAGCATTTTATAGAATGTAAAATTTATAGAATATAATTTTATAGAATAAAATTTTATAGAATGTAAAAATTTATAGCATTTTTCCAGAGCATGTGGCTTACACCACTACTTCAGAGTTTACCAGATCATTCTTGTTTCCTAAATGGACAAAAGTAGACAGAAGACCAGCTGTTGTTCAGTAACTGTAAAGAGTAGGGCTGTTGTCTTTTCAAATACCTTATTTCTACAATTCCATCTCACTAGATGACTGATTTACATAATCCCATCCCAAAAGCCCAAGATAGGGAGATTATTCTTTTCTTAGACAATGAAGTATCTGGAATTCAGGGCATACATTCAATAAACTGCAGAATTCATAGTAATTTAGCCCAAAAAATATATTTACAGACTGGTTAGGGCCCTATTTTTTGTCAATGTGTGCATATTTTATACAATTTAATATTTTTGACTTTATTAAATTTTAAGCATTCTAAGTACATACTAACAGCGAGATATTGAAAAAGTTGTAATTTGGTTGGCATACATGCTTGTTTGAAATGTAATTGTAAATTCGTGTTAGTATTTAAATTTGATACATGTTAAACATCCCATTAGACTACTTATATTACCTATTGTCATGTTTTAGAGAGTACCACAATATTTTAATTTGACCATTAACCATTGTTTTAATTCAGTCTTTGAAATGAATTCTATTTTATGCAGTCATTCCTAAAAGCAGTTAGATAATTTAGGCTTGCAGCAAATTTCTAAAAGGTACTGAGGATGACAAGGGCGTGGCACATGGTCTGAGAAGAAAAGGGAAGTAATAATAAAAGGCAGAAAGGGAGCAGGCAGTAGGATAAAAAACAGGCAAGCAGAGACAAGTACAGAGTATAAAATATGCAGAATATCATTTCCTTAAATGTATTGATTTCCCTTTAGATTTAACCCCAATATTAGATTCCACCAGACTTTTAAGAAATTTTTCATGATTTAGATCTTTTGCTAAAGAAACTGTAGCCAACTGATTAATCCCTTTTATTTTATTTTAGGTTTAGAACACTGAAATAAAAATAGGTTTATATCTTCTTAAAATTAAATTACTTTTTCTTCAGTCGTTTTGTGTGTAGCTGAGACATACAAAACAAATTAAATGAAGATATAATTATTATGTTATGGTACTATAGAATAGAAGTGAGTACTAGGGAGACCATCCATTCTTTAATTTTAAGGTCTATTTGCTTTTTTCTTCAGTAACTTTTCACTTTGCCTTTCTCTAAAATTATAGATCATTATCTCATAATCAAGCTTTTTAAGATAAATGTTCATAACGTTGTAGCGAACTCCTTTAATTTCCGCCTCAAAGCCATTCTTTTAGTCTGTCCTACCTTTCTCCTCACATAAAGCAGTCTCTTTCAAGTCTAGGGTTAAAGGATGTAGAGTAGAAGAAAATGGCAGCTTATCCTCATGCCTGGGAGTCATGCATTTATTTTTAAATTTACATACAGTAAAGTTAACTCTTTTTTGTATAAAGTTATATGAATTTTAGCATATTTATGGCTTCATGAAATCCCTACCATGATCAGTTTCTTCATCAAATACCGAACAATTCCTTCACCTTCACATCATTCCCTTAGTATTGTCCTTTTGTTGTCAAATCCTTCCCTGACCCCTGACTTTAACCCAGCAATCACTGGAAATTAAGCATTCCATCCCAGTAGTTTTGTTTTTTCCTTAATGTCCAACAAATGGAATCCTATAGGATGGAACTTTTTGAGACTGGCTACTTTTGCCCAGCATAATGCATTTTAGAATTTGTCCATGTTGTTGTACTCTTTTATTGCTGACTAGTATTTCATTATTTATATGTGCCATAGTTTTACCTGTACACTCATTGAAGGACAGTTGGGTTTCCAGTTTTTGGCAATTATGAATTAAACTGTTAAAAAAACATTCATGTATAGATTCTTGTGTTAGTGTTGTTTTAATTTACATAGGTTAAATAGGAGTAGAATATGTGTTTAACTTCATAAGAGTTCCCCAAACTGATTTTTAAAGTGGCTGTTCCATTTTGCATTCCCATCAGCTAAGGATGAGAATGTCCCACATGTTCTGTAACACTTGGTTTTATCAGTTTTTTTTTTTTTAATTTTAGTCATTCCAATAGGTATGTAATTAGATACCTGAGTATCTAGGTGAGTAATATAGGTGAGTAATTAGATTTTAAAGCTATTCTGATAATTCTTTAGCAAGCAAAAACTAGTCTGACCTTTTTAACCAAATTAAATCACTATTTTATATGCTAGTGTTAAAAAAATATTCAAATGTTAATAGTGTGTATGTAGTATGAACTTCCTTTGTGCATATTTATGAGCTTAAAATATGCTCAATTATAATTAAATGTACTTTAGTTAAGTGTATAAATTCAATCCTGTAATGCATTTGTACCTCATAGGAATGAAAATGGAAGGAAAGGAAAAACAAATGATCTGGTTATATTGCTACTTTGCTATTTCCATTCTATTCTTTAGAAGTTTAAATCACACAGTTGGTTAGCTATAGGATCAGAATGAATACTCTTTTCCTATAAATTGTCAAAATTTTGATAGTCCCCAGATTGCAAGTAGACAGTGAAAACAGCTACTAAGTGCCATAATCTACTAGAATGGATCCTAAAATACACAGTGATGAGGTGGGAAACAGATTTTAATTGTCAAGAACTATTAAGATATAACTGTGTATGGTAATGGATGGTAACTAGACTAACAGAATAACTCTGTCATATACCAGAAACTAATATAATGTTATATGTCAATTACACCTTGATTAAAAAGAAAAGAACTGTGAAGGGTCTGAGATTTTTACCTTACTTACAAAGTAGCAGTTTAGCTTCTGACAATTTTGTGTTTGCTGTCAGAAGACAAAAGATTTTTGGCTCAGAAACAAAAGACTTTATTCTAATGGCACATGATGCAGCATGAGCTTCATGTTTGTGTTGGTTCCAGGTATCCCCATCTTCTAAGACATGAAGTGGTCTGGTTAGATATGTACACAGGGGATTTATACTATGGCTGAGAAACTCCAAGCTAGGGAAACTCTTTTATAATGAGCTTCTAGCAAACCTGCTCAACCTTTTTTTTCCAGAGGAAGACATTACCTTTGTTATACTAGACACTGAGCAAACCTGCCTCTGTTCAGAGAGAGACGCTGTCTCTATCTTCCAAGGGTGTTTATTACACACACATCCGTAAAAAGGTAGTCAAGTATAAGGCAGGTAATACCTCTGCTCATAAGACAGGCAGAAACATGAGAGACCCATGGAGAATTGTCTTCCAGTTTTCTTCTGTGTGTTGCAGCAGTTTGACCACATAGTTATACAGAGAAAAGTCTAGTATCCTCCACACTCAAAAATAAATAAGCTAAAAAATATTGCAGAATACATTTATTTTTTAAAGTTAAATTTCTTTGTAACCAAAGAACATACAGATTTAATTAATATTTTCGTTCTGACATCATATTGGATAAAAATTATTCTTTGCTTTCTTTATACCAAATTCCATATAGTTTGGGGGTGGGTGAAATGGGTAAATGTAGTAAAAAGGTACAAATTTCCAAGTATAAAATAAATAAGTCCTGGGGATGTAATATATAGAATGGTGACTATGGTTAATAATTATTGCATATTTGAAAGTGGCTGAGAGTAGATCTTAAGTGTTCTCATCACAAGAAAAAAAATTGTAACTATGTATCATGATGAATGTTAACTAGACTTATTATGGTGACCATTTTGCGATATATCCATATATTGAATCATGTTATATACCTGAAAGTAATCTAATGTTATATGTCAATTATATCTCAATTAAAAATATACTACTGGTATAGTATTTAGAAGTATCACATACCAAACACCAAAGCTCAATATTGTTATTTGAGTCTAGTTATTTCTAAATATTACACATTTCTATCATCTTGTTCCTGACCCCCACCCTTTATTGGCTAATTCTTCACCTCGTATTTTTTGTGACAAAATAGGAATCATAGCTTAATTTCCTTGACTATTCCCTACTACCAAGCACAATATTTTATTTGCAAAGGAATTTAATAAATACTTGTTGATAGGAATGCACAATATAAAATATTACCTAGCTTAGAAGATACTAAGCATAGAAGCTTCAGAATATTAATATGACCAAAATTTCCATAAATAACAAGAATGATTTTTTTTTTAATGTTTATTTATTTTAGACAGAGACAGAGCGCAAGCAGGGAAGGGGCAGAGAGAGAGGGAGACACAGAATCG